GAAAACTTTCAGCCGAAAATGACCAAAAATGGTTTTTCGGTTTTTGGCAGAAAGACTTTATTAAATCGGAACCGAAACATCATGTGATAAATGGTGTGACGTCTTCCAACACATTCTCACTCCCAGCGCGTCAAAAACAAACACTTGGTCAGCCACCCTCCACGTCAGACCCCTGATGCCAAAAGTGCCCTTTTTCGTTACTTATGTGCGAAAAGGGGTTTTCCCCTTTTGTAACTGCAGATCCCAATGCAGCGTAAAACTGACGTGATGGGATGTCCAGCCTTGAAGCTGCAAATAAATCATCCCCCACGAAGGAAGGAACGCAGACAGACGCTGTGGAACCCGTCCTCCCCCCCCCCCCCCCCCCCCCCCCCCCCCAACCTTCAGATTGTGGACCTCACAGCGAGGTCATCAACCTGCAGGAATGTGCTCTGGCCCCTCTCAAGATCTCTCTCCCTCCTGTGGACACAGCTGGCTGAGCGCCGAGTGTTGTGAATGTTGAAGTTCGTGCTTATATGTCTGAGGTGTTTTTTTTGCATAGTACAGCTACGCTCTGTCGGGTGTAACTATGGTATGCCTGTTTTTTTCCCTCCACCAAACTATCCTCATGTAATTCCTTTTCATCTATTAAGGTAGCGCGACTCGTGTTGCAAATGACCGCAGTCACTAATTCTTTTTATGTGTCTTGCCCATGTATGTCTGATCTCTGAATTGTGTGTACTGAAACTCAATTTCGTTTCTCTGTATGTCCTGCACATGTGGTAGAAATGACAATAAAATGACTTTGACTTTGATATAAGTTCCATAGTATCTTTGTTGTACCGAGTGAATCGATGGAAAGTGAACGTTAGGTTATGCATATAACCACTGTCCCCTGAAGGAGAGGAACAAGGTACAACACAGGGCTGCCCCATTTCGTAGCCCAGCTCGGTGAGGAGCGGCTATCGAACTGAGGAATGACGCGGGTTGCTTAAAAGTGGAGGGCGGGTATCCTTCCTAGAAAACCCAGCAGTTTGCATCGAGTCACTGACTTGTGATAGAGACTTTACAGCAATCCCTCAGTAGTGTTGACACTATGCAGTACACAACAGGATTATTAATTAGGTCGGATTACCATACCATACCATACCATACCATATTTATTTATAAAGCACCATTTCAAAATAGCATGGCAGCTAACCAAAGCGCTGTACATAAAAAAGCCAAATGCTTGACCAAGAAACACAATAAGAACAGGCAAAATACATAAGAACAAAGCATAAATAGTCGGAGATAAAAATTCCTACTGAAGACAATAAAATAGGAGAACAGTTAACAGCACTATAAAAATAAAATAAAGCGATGAATAATAAAAACATTTGAAATGGCACAAATAAAACAAAATAAAATACCAGATGGTGTGAGGTGCCAAAAGTGAGCAACTAAATCATAAAAATGGAATTAAAACTCTAATCCGGTGCTAGATTGTCATGAAAAGTGTCACGGAGGGAAGGCAATGCTAAAGAAGTGTGTTTTCAGGGCCGACTTGAAGCTGCTAACAGAGGGAGCCAGACGCACACGGAGGGGCAGAGCTCCAGAGTTTTGGGGCTGCATGAGAGAAGGCACGCTCCCCCGTGATTTGTACCGAACCTTCGGAACAACAAGCAGCAGATGATCTGCTGACCGAAGGGCACGGGTGGGAGCATACGGGGTCAGCAGGTCCGTCGGATAGGATGGGCAGTACAAAGCCTTGTAAACATATAACAAGACCTTGAAGTTAATCCTAAATTTGACTGGGAGCCGGTGTAAATCTGCGAGGATGGGTGTGATGTGCATGCGTCTGTCGGTGTTGGTTACAGCTGATAATTGCATTTTCTGACAGATTTGTGTCTCCTGTTAGTTTCCAGCAATCACAGCCCAAAGACTTAAGCTCAGTAACACACTGAGCGTAGATGGGGTTAGGTCATGTGACTAGAAAAACACTGGGATGAAGTTTAAGTGGACACAAAAATCTAATCCTGCCTAATTCTCAACAGTCAGTGATAAAATAACCTTGTAGTTAATTTATATCCATCCATCCATCCATCCATCCATCATCTGAACCCGCTTTGTCCACGTGGGGTCGCGGGGGGGCTGGTGCCTATCTCCAGCGGTCAGTGGGCAACCAGGCGGGGTACACCCTGGACAGAGAGCCAGTCCATCGCAGGTTAATTTATAAATAAACAATAAAAAGTGTTTTGACATGCAGCGTTTTAATCACAGAGGGATTATCGTGATCCTCACATGGAAACGCTGCCTCTGTTTGACACATTGAGTTTATTATCAGTTCTTGCTTCACACCTGAATCCCCTTTCAGCCAGGCAGATTTAATCCTGGGATTCCTTTCAGAGACATTTGAAGACCTTACTGAGAAGGCCTGATGGTGTCACAGGGACGCGCTCTAGCTGCACCGTTGCAACAGCTGGATGGTGAAATGTTCATCAAAAGGCTTATGTTGGAAAGCCGTTCCCCACCGAGCCATACAGGAATATGAAAGAAGTTCTAGCAGCGCTGGAAAAAGAAAACATCTTCATGAAACAGTGTGATTACAGCAAAGAAAGGGTTTAGTGTGAAATGATGGCAGAAACCTGTTCATAGACAGAAGAGCCTTTACTAACAGCTGCAGCGACATGAAAGGATTCACGGTCTAATAAAGTTCAAGTTTTAGTTAGGAAGTTTTATCTGTCAGGGCATGACTCTAATCTGGCCTTGGTCGGGATTAAAAATCATTCAAATCCAACATCAGGTAAACAAAAACAACAGAAACAGTCCGGTTGATCAAACGTGTTACATGATTACTGATACAATGACCTGCAGGTGTGGCTGGTTAACAGGGAAACATAAAGACAAGAGAACAGAACTATGAGAAATGAAGTCCAAACTAAAACACAACAAGGCTGTACAACACCAGACAAGATAAGAGACTATAACCACATGATGAGAGGATACACGAGGAGCAGAACTAAACTAGACTGAACAGACTGGAAGGACAGAGAGGACAAGGACACCTAGGAGGGAGAAATATGGAATAAACTGGGGAGACAAGGAACACCGGACATGAGTGAATGAAAAGAGGAGTAAAGAATCAAGCCTAATTTATACTTCTCCCTCAGCTGGGGATTGTTAGAAAACAATTCCCCGGCAGAGCAACAGGGGGCGTAGTATCCTGCCACCATTACAGCCGTGTATCCGGTCCACGGTAGCGTACCTTTATCATGTTTACATTGTTTTAACGTATTTCAGAGATTTTTTAAACACGAACAAGTTCGTCCCTCATTCTCCTCCAACTCTTTATGCGATCGGCACCGCAGACTGTTTGTGCAGTGTACTCTTCAATCTGTTCCGTGTCTGCCGCAAAACTTCTCTTGGCTTTTGAAGCGAAGAAGATGATGCTGTTGACCAATTTACAGGAAGCAGCATCCCGACCAATCACAAGCTTGCGTTCTCCGTCACATTCGACGGATGGTTAAAAATATGTCCCTGTGCGAGCACGTCGAAGGGCTGCTGCACGGATGCATATTGGAGTTGCGTGTCTCGGTCCCGACAAAGACGGAAACGTAGGAAATATGGCCTCAATTCACGGGAGGCGACAAACGGCCGCGAACAGCGAAAGTCATCACTGTCGCTTTTATCACCTGACACACGGGAGGCGACCCGCGGCAGCGGCAAAGCCGTCGACTCGTTCTGTTCCAGGGTGAAATCAGGTTGGAGGGAATCAAGGTTGTTTAAGCGGTTCAGAGTTTAAAAAGCAGCCTTTTCCCCCACGCCGCGGCCTTTTTGTGATCATCTCTATATTCTTTGGTAGAAATATTGTACAGTTCTGGGAAATCCATCACAGCAAGTATAAACTCCTCCATGTTTGCTCGGAGGTGTACGGAGCATCCTGCCCCCTCATTGGTCAGTGAATGAAACCTCCGTTGATTGGTCCTCGTCCGAGCGACAGCGATGAAAAGTTGAAAGTGTTTCAACTTTCTGGGATTGCGTCGCTGGGTCGCCTGTGCACGACTCGTGCACGAGTGCAAAATTTCACACACACGTGTTTCACTTGGTAGGAGGGAGACCCGCGATTATCGCTTTGCCGCGCATGTCTCATTGAAAATGAATGGAGGAGAGGCGATGTCGCCTCCCGCGTGTCGAACCCTTTAGACCTTAAGCTCCATTTTTCTGAAGACAGACAGAGAGAAGGGGTCAGGGTCTGACCGGTTATCAGGACCAGACAGAAAATAAACAGGCAGAAAACGTCTTTTCATCTGGAAAATGGTAAAATGTTAAATAATGATGATTTTATCATAAAAGGCTGTAGCATTGCGACTTGAGCGTGTTTGACCTGCTGGTGAAAGGTCTATCAGAACACTCGGGTTTAGACTGAAAATGATCATGTGTGCAGATTTTGTGTCTGAGAACCGAATCTCTGAGGTAACATCTTCTGCTTGTGCTGTCTGCTGACGGTGCAAAAAGCTGCTAAGGGAATGCACACAAACAGGAGGAGGTACGCAGGAGTGGGAAGAATCTCAAAGATCTGTTGGGGTGGAAAATAAAAGTTTCTGTTGAGGCAGAAATAAAAGAGAAAAGGGAGTTCCCATAAATAAATAATAACGGATGAACAAGAATCTGCTTCTAGACCTGCAGAAGAAGAGAGAAAAGGGGGTCACACAAAAATACAACAAAACCAAAATACCACTGCGCCAAATGAATGAGGATATATTCCAGTAACTGTTTTTGCTGAAAAGTAAATATTTGTAGCGCGTTTAGTGCCAACCACTGCCTTAGGTTATGTGTAAAACACCCAAGTCCATACTTGTGAGAGCACCTCGGCTGTTTTCTAAGGAAGCTCATCCTTACAGCTTTCCTGTTCCCTGATCTAACCAGGGAGTGACCATCAGAAAAACAAAAGATTGAATCTGAATGGTAACGAGTTACAAACTGGTAATGGATGTCAGTATTTTCCTTTTGTTCTACTTGACCGTTTTCTGTCTCCTCAGGTACACAAAGATGAAAACAGCCACCAACATTTACATCTTTAATCTGGCTCTGGCGGACTCGCTGTTCCTGGCCACTTTGCCTTTTCAGGTAGGAATCCTTCATAAATGCCACATTTTCCAACTGTCACAACTTAAGAAAACAACAACAACAACAACAAATAAAACAGATTTATGCACACTACCGGTCAAAAGTTTTAGAACACCCCATTTTTTCCAGTTATTTATTAAAGTTTAAGTCATTCAAGTCTGTTAAATAGCTTTAAATGGTACAAAGTTAAGTGGTGAACTGCCAGAGGTTAAAAAAGGTAAAGTTACTCAAAACTGAAAAATAATGTACATTTCAGAATTATACAAAAAGGCCTTTTTCAAGGAACACAGCTGTTCCAGCGTTGCTAACTTAGCGACTTTGTCGCCATTTCTAACGACTTTTCAGACCCCTTTAACGACTTTTTTCAAAAAAGCGCCTAGCGACAAATCTGGCAACATTTCTGACCCCCTCAGCTACTTTGACTACAACTTTGTAGCCGACTTCACCTGCAGATTAGAGATGCACCTGAAGCGACAGGCCCGTCCTTCCTTCCAGAGGATCAGAAAGAAAATGATCTGCGCATGTGCGTGCAGCATGATCACGCTGCCCCCGTTGGCCAATCAAACCCTTTTGTTATGTTCCTGTTCCTGCCACGCCCCGTTTCCACAGCAACCCCAGCCTGCACCTCATCAACTTCATCCATCTCACCTGTTCCTGACTCCCCAGCTCATCACACACACGCCTGCTTCCCCTGCTGCTGAAGAACCAGCCATCCAACCAGTCAGTGCCAGATTATTGAACACTCCTGTTAGTAAATTCTCCAGCCTTGTACCTTGCCATCACGGATCCCGAACCCTGCCTCATCCTCTGACCTACCTTCTCGCCGTGCCCTCCTTGGATTATTCTGCCTCGTCCCCGACCTCGTCTTTGGATTTCCCTGTCGGACAGTCTTCATCTCGGATCACCTGGTAACAACCCACTTGTCTCCTGACCGAGTCTCTGCCTCCTCCCATCATCATCCTTCCCCTTTTAATAAATCTATTTAAAACGTGTCATTCTGTTTTGGGTGTTTCTTACGGGTCTGCCATTTTAGCTCGTGACACTTTTGTGGGTTTTCACAAGTCCATTCTTTGAGATAGCCACTGGAGCTACATAAAGGGCGACCGCTCCTTCCGCCATCCTGCCGCATGTCAGCAGCTGAGCTCGGCTGGCACTGGCTGACATGATTTGGGGAATGCATTTAACCCAAGACACGCAGAATCACACACTCACAGATCTTATGGTGAAAAAAGAATCTTTATTTTAAAACGGGAACTGAAGGTGCACTGGAAAAGCCCAGTGGAGATGGAGAACGGGAGCGCAGCGTCTGAGGGGGGGAGAGCAGATATAGGTGAGGCCAGGAAGGCAAGTCTAATACTTGGTGGGTGCAGAGGATAGACTTACTGGGAGTAGGGGAGCGTAGGAATGAGGGAGGGTAGGTTGGGTGCCGGGGTGAATCCAAGTGGGGTGTCCAGGAGAGGGAGTGAGAGGAGAGCAGGCCGGCCGGGAGGAATGGAAAACAGTGAGAGCTGCATCTGGATATCCTATGGGGCACAGGTGAGTAATCCTGAGGAGTCGCAGAAGTCCAAAAACGTTCCAAAACCTGGTAACGGGTAAGCACGGGGAAACGATCCAAAGGTTCACAAAAAGTCCTAGAAACACAAGAGCACAAAATCCAAGAGTTGCAAGAGGGCAGGAAACCACCAAGCTGTAGTAATCATCTGACGTCGAGGAGTGTTCTCCATCCTTCTTTTGTAGCCAGACCCGCTGGTTGCAAATCAGCTGCAGCTGGAGCCTCCCTCTCCTGAAACACACAACTCAAAGATGGGAAGATGAGAGGAGTACTCACCCCGGCACATCACACTGGCAGGCAGCGTTGCACTCGCACATGGCTTCTTGCACCACCTGTGGTGCATTCAAGGAACAGTGGAACTCTATGATGAGTTCAATAACATAGCACATTTTGTAAAAAACAGAATAATACTGTAAGACAAACACCTCAGGTCAGTGGCAGTTTGCATGTAACGTTTCTGAACACTAAATACGGCCTGCTTCTTTTTACACAAAAGTACTAAAAACAACAAAACCAAACAAAAAAATAAATAAATAAATACACACACACACACACACATATACATATATACATATATATATATATATATATATATATACATTTACAGTGGGGCAAAAAAGTATTTAGTCAGCCACCGATTGTGCAAGTTCTCCCACTTAAAATGATGACAGAGGTCAGTAATTTACATCATAGGTACACTTCAACTGTGAGAGACAGAATGTGAAAAACATCCATGAATTCACATGGCAGGATTTTTAAAGAATTTATTTGTAAATCAGGGTCGGGTCATACCAAAGACCTTTACAATGGGACCCAACGCCTCCCTCCTTCACACTCAGGTGTGGGATGGATTGGGGGTTAAACCACCAAATGGTTCCCGAGCACAGCCACTGCTGCAGCTCACGCTCCCCTCCACAGGGATGGGACACATGTGGAGAAGATGTTCCCCAGTGTGTGATGGTGACTGTAGGACTTTAACTTTGAGTGTGTCACAACACTGGAGCTCCATCTGGAAGTTGGTTGGTGGGCGTTCTCTTTCGGTTGTGAACAGATTACTGAGTGGTTAAAATCCATTTCTGAGCTTCAAAGTCAGCAATTTGCTGAGTAAGAGGAGCCTTCTTAGTTTGTCTGAGACTGAGGAGGTAACGTTGGAGACGCCGAGTCGTGGCGTGGATGCTAATGACTGTAAACAGAAAGGAGAGGTCGCTTCAACGGACTCACTAATGCAGCAAAGCTCTATGGGATCTGTAGTCTTTGCAGCCAAATGGGCCAGAAGGCCAGTTTTCATTTTTATTTGATCTAAAAATAAAAAAGAACAAATCCGGCCCGAGAGCCTGAGTTTGCCTCAGAGCGTGGCCCGTCTTAGGTGACTGTTTTAGGGGTGTGGTCCTTTTTAGGATGAAGAATCAGCAGTAAGCTGCTCTGTGGATTTAAACGTGGTTCCAGTTTTAATCAAAGATCTGATTCAATGGCCAGGTGCTCCTGGTTCCACCATCCTAACATGTTGTCTCAACAAGCACAAAAGAAGCATCAAAGACATGTGACTTGATTGAAAGCTCTGTGTTTGTTGACATTTGTAATGGTGTGCACATTTTCCCTGAGGTGGTGTTCCTGGTCTGTTTCCAGGGCACGGATGTGTTCCTGGGCTTCTGGCCGTTTGGGAACGCCTTGTGTAAGACGGTGGTGTCCATCGACTACTACAACATGTTTACCAGCACCTTCACCCTGACGGTGATGAGCATGGACAGATATGTGGCTGTCTGTCACCCTGTCAAAGCGCTGGACATGAGGACACCTCACAAGGCCAAAGTAAGATGTTTGCTTCTGAGAACCTTCACACCTCCGTTGTTGCCTCTGAAGTGACGCAGACGTCAGGTCTGATGAGTTTGCCTCGATGGCTGGGGGAGTGCAGAGATTC